CCGCGGCTCGGGGTTGCGGGCGTCGCCGCCTCGTCCGGTCTCGGCGAGGCCCGCGCACCTGCAGGGCGGCGCGCTCTCCCGGCCATGTTCCTCGAGCGGCTCTGGGGGCCCTGGCTGGGCTCCCGGTCTCCGCCTCTGCGGGGGCGCCAAGCCGCGTCGCCTCCCAAGGTAGCGGCCCCCCGCTCCTCCGAGAGCGTGGCGTCCACTCTGCCCGGCTGATCCGAGCCCCTCGGTTCCGGGCTCCGGGGAAACTTGGTCCCTCCTGGTGTCACGAGCTTCATGGAACTCCGCTGTTTAAAAACCTAGATAGCGTGGCATTCTGCGATTTCATGACCCTAGTTCGGGCTGGATGTTGACACTTGTAGAATGGAAGAGCAAAAGGTGTCGGAGTGGGGCCGTCTTTAACACACCAACTTGGTGCTCAGCGATTCACTGCTAGGTTCTCTTTTCCTTCCCGAGCCGTTGCTCTAACTTAGCGCTGTGGGTGTTGAAACGGCCTAGGAAGCAGGAGGGAGGGAAATCAGAGTACGCTAGCCGTAGAGGGGCGCGCCGGCGTGGGCAGGGCGGTGGTTCACTTTGTCGTTAGAGTGGATCTCGTTTGGCTCGTTTCATGGCAGTATTCGTTTATTCATTTGTTGTGCATGCCCTTGAACACCTACTGTGTGCTTTTACTTCCTCCTTTCCCAAAGCTCACGATTTTGAACTGCTGAAGACTTTTAGATAAAGGCCAAGCCAGGATTTTTTTTTTTTAACGTTGCTGGGAATAAATACTTTGCTTTTTTTTTTTTTTTTTTTTAAAAAGATACGTTCATTTTTGAAGCCTTTTTTCTTTAATTTAGCAAATACTTACGTTTGCCCAGCGGCTGTAAGCAAAACTGCTTACTCTGTTACAGTTCACAGTCCAGGAGGAGGTAATCACTAATTTGCGTAAACTCGTTGTTTAACGTGGAAGGCAGAGAGGTGAAAAATACTGAGAAGTACAGGGGGCCGCTCTTAGGGAAGCCGCCTTTAATTGAATATAATTTGAAAAGAAAACTTTAAAGGCCCTTCATGTGTAATTAGTACTTTTACTGAGCTTTCTGAATTACACTCAAGAAAAATTTATTTTCAAGTTATCCTTTTTTTAGTTATTGATTTATTTATTTTTGTCTTTTTGAGACAGGGTCTCGCTCTGCAGTTCAGGCTGGCCTTGACCTCACTTTGTAGCCCAGGCTGGTCTTGAACTCGTAACGATCCTCCTGCCTCAGCCTCCCAAGTGCTGGGATTACAGGCGTGCGCCACCATGCCCGGCTCAAGTTACTCTTCAAACATAGCAGAAACTGTGAAGCTTTAAGAGATTGAAATAGGTACAGATGTAATGTGTAGGAAAATTTGCTGTTTCATGGTGTGTGGGCTCAGTGAATAAACTGAGAGCCTTTCATCTCACTTTGAGTTGTTTTTTTTCATCCACCGACTTAGTGACATGTCTTTAATAAGGACTAGCAAGTTTGTCGTTCTGTGTACTCACATTGAGTTTTTCTAGATTGTAATGCTCAATGTAGGGTTTACAAGTTACATGAAAAATCTTGCATATTAACCCAAAGTCAGTGGTACAAGGTAGAACACTGTAAAAATAGCTATGTTTTGCTAGTCATATATTGCAATCTAGTTACTTAAAAGCTCCTTGTGTTTTAACTTGTCTAGCCTCTCTTCCTCCCTCCTTCCTTTTCTTTCCCTCTCAGACTCTCCCCTGCCCTCTCACAGCAGGCTTCCTCCCTTGCTGGCTGTTATTTGCACATATTTGATACTTAGTAGTAGCTGATTGATTTTGAGTTACTCTCTATTTCATACCAGCATCTTTTAGGAGAAAATTTATTATTCCAAATTTACCATTTTGGGCAAGTTTTGAGCTTGACTTGGAGCATGAAAGCTAACCAGGAATGAGTAGTGTATGTAACCTATCATGGACATCGCGGTTTTTTCTAATTAGTTCAGTCTAGTTTTCTGATTATAATTAGTTTTCTGATTAAGACTTGTTATTTGTAATGTTACCAGGAAAAATTAAAACATCATGTTAAAAAGGAAATTGCTGTCTATATCTTTGGAATGTCAAAATTAATCTGGCAATTCTTGAAATTGGTTTCTTGAAATTACAATCTTTTTGTTAATATAGTAGTAATAAAAACAAGGGCAGATTTTGGGAAACAAAAGGTTTTGCTATGTAGTTCAGGTTGGCTTTGAAGTCATTACATAGCCCAGGCTGGCCTCAAACTTGTGGCGATCTTCCTGCCTCAGCCTCCCCGGTGCTGGGATTACAGGTGTTCACCACCATGCCTGGCAACACTGTCTTATTTGATCACCGCTATGTTTTTCTTTTTCTTTTCTTTCTTTTTTTTTTTTTTTTTTTTTTTGTACTAGGAATCTAACTGAGGACCTTGCACTTGCCAGGCAGGTCCTTGTGCCACTGAGCTATATCTCCAGTCCCGAACACTGTCTTATTTGATCATAATATCACCTGTGATTTACACAGCTTTAGGAGGCTCATTAGCATTCTGATATTACCTGGCCAACTGTGAACAGAGCTTAGATTTAGCACACATTCCCTACTCTCCATTTTGCTACTACAACTAATGCTAATTTGCTGGAAAAGGGCTGGTCTTACCAACTGTGCCAAATATCAGCAAGTTTCTTTTATGTAGCTATTTACTTTCTATTATTAGAATGGTGGTATGTGTACTCAAAATTAGTTTAACATTCAACAAGTACATTATTTGAGTGCCTTCTACATAGTAAATGTCAGATGCATCATTGTGTCTTCTGGATTGAGCAAAAGATAAAATGTCTGTCCAGATGGAGTTAGCAGTTCAATAGAGGCAGACATTAAAATCAGTCTTGTGAGATCTAAATTTAGAGAATCCAATTTATTGAGTCAGGGAAAACCCTTACCGAGATGAGTCAGAGTGACATTTAAAGGATGAATGAGTTAGGTTAAGGCACTTTGCTTGGGACAAGGGTAAGAAGTCTGGCAAGTTTGATAAACTACAGTTGCAAGAACAATGTTTGAGGTTGATGTGGCTGGAGAGATAGGTAGGGCCAGATACATGTAGGCCACAGTATGGAATACAGTGTGTGCGTTACTTTAAAGTAACACTTAATTGAAGTCAACATTACCTACAAAAAAATTGGACAGATCAATGTATAGCTTGATGAATTTCACAAACATGCTTATGTACCAAGTGATGAGATCAGAAAAGTAGAATATAATTACTGCTTCAGCTCCCTTTATTTTCCAGGCACTTTAAAACTTATATAATGTACATGTACCTTACTTGTTTTTGACATGGAATCATAATGAGTATTAGGTCTTTCCTCTTCCAGTCATGTAATGTGTATGATATTCATCCTTATATATGTATCTTTTAAATTCTATTGCTGTTAATTATTCCCACTGTATACCTATAGATTAAAATTTATTTGTGAATTATCTTGTTGATTGATATTTGAATTGTTTCTCTTTGTAACTGTTCATGAACTTTGTTTCCTGGTTGATGTATGTGAGAATTGCTGTCTAGGGCAGTAGTGGTGAACGTATGGCATGTGTGTGACTATTTGTTTTTAAGACAAAAGATGTTAATGTAGGAATTGTTTTTTTCTAAACTAGAACCTCCGTATTCAGTTTTAATGCCAAACTGTTTTCTAAAGTAGTTTTTCCACTTTGTAAGTTCACCAGTCCACTGAAGAATTTCAAGCAGGGAATGATACCAGATTTGTTTTGAAAAGGTTGCTCAGGTTGTTACATAGGCAAGAGTAAGAAGGGATGTAGGACAACATAATGGAAGAAAAATAGTATACATTAAAAAAAGATTAGTTTTCATTGGTGACAAAATAATTCATAACTATCCAGTATCAGAACTGCTAGTGGATTCTGCTCATTATTAGTTGGTTATTGCCAACTAGTGTTTTTTTTGCATTGATAAGCAATTATACTTTGTCTATTTCTGTCATATTCAGGGTTTACAAAATGAGGCTGTACATTTTCTTTGGGAAAATCCACAGAAATTTCATTAATCTTGTCCATTAGGGCTAGTTTTACTCAAAGAGATTACACAGTGTAACATACCCTGTGCAGCTCTAATACAGCAGTAGATTTTATAATAGTTATAATAATTCATTTGGGCTTATAGGAGTACTTTGGATTGTAACAAGTTATACTATAATGTAAGAGCCCTATAGAGGTATACTGAAAGGTAACTTTTGAAACCCAAATGTTAAGAATTACCTTCCTAAGTTTCTGTTATGTTAGTATTTGATTATAGGGGTTGTCTATGGAAATGATTAAAACTATACTGTGTTTAACATGTTCCTGCTGGTTTGAACCACTGGTGGTACATGTCTTGACTGTCCTGTTGGATGGCTTGTATCACCGGGGTGCAAACGGATCAATCACTTTTATCAGTCTTTTTACTAATAAAATTAATAAAAAGACACCCAGTGGGACATTCAGGTATGTATCACCAGTGGTTCAAGTCACCTGGCAGCAAGACATGAATTATTGGCCAGTTGTGAATGTGTTAAATTTGTTTAGGCTTTGTGATTTTTGGGAGGGTCTTTTTCATGATAGAACAAAATCTCTCAACAGGTGTTTATATGTGCAGTACGGGTACTCAAGTTTGGTCACTTTTGATGTAGAATTTGATATAAATTCACATATATGGAGTCTGTTTAACTGTAGGACAAAGGGAACTGAATTTGAACTATGAAATGTGATGATTGGCTAAACATGATAATTACAAGCATTTTTATTTTATTTCAGAGTTTTCTCGGAGGCTTTTTTGGTCCTATTTGTGAGATTGACATTGTCCTTAATGATGGGGAAACGCGGAAGATGGCGGAGATGAAGACCGAAGATGGCAAAGTGGAAAAACACTATCTCTTCTACGATGGAGAGTCTGTTTCAGGAAAGGTAAATCTTTCGTTTGACAGAATTACCTAGTTGTACAATATTAGAATTAGTAATGAAAATTTCTATACTGTAAATTTGAATGATTTTGTTAGAGATGGAAATTTTTTTTCTCTGAAGGTCAGCTAAAAATCTTTGGTTAGAACATTTACAAGAAAGTTTCTTACCCTGGAAGGATGAATCTCGACTCCTGTTCTTGTTAAAGTAATAACATATGTGTGGTAGACAGCTTGGGAAATAAAATATGTACAGTTCCGTCATGGAAATAATTCACTGTTAAAAATTTGGGTGTGCTTCCTCTTGGTTTCTTTGCATTTATTATTGTATATGTATGTGTGTTACACTGAGTATCACTTGATAGGGATACATTTTTGACAAATATGTGTAGGTGGTTTCATCATTGTGCAGACTTCATTAATGTACTTACACAAACCTAAGTGCTATAGCCTATTACACACCTAGGCTATATGATATGACCTATTTAAAATTTTATTATAAAATTATTTTTAGTTTTTAAGCATTTTTGTTAAAAATAAAAGCACAAATACACACATAACATAGGCCTACACAGTCAGGATTATCAGTATCACTGTCTTTTGCCTCCATGTCTTGTCCCACAGGAAGGCCACCTTTGATAACATTGCCTCGTGGAATGTCGCCTGAAGGACCTGCCTGACGCTGCTTTACAATTACTATTTTTTTAATAAGTGGAAATTCACCCTAAGATAATGAAAGTATATTATAATAAATAATAAATCATAATGAAATTATTATTAACATCAACTGTTATACACTATACATAATTGTAGGTGCTGTATTTTTATGCACCTGGCAGTGCAGTATGTTTGTTTGCACCAGCATGACCAGTAATGCCTTGCAGTGTTATGGTGGCTAGGAGTCACAAGGTGATAGGAATTTCTTGGCTCCTTTAGAAACCCAAGGACAACCATTGTGTGTGGAGTTTGTTATTGACCAAACCAGCATTATGTGCTGTATGACTGAATATTAAACACACCTTTTCCTACTGTTGGATATTTAAGTAGTTTATGTAGTTTATATTATTTATGTCTTTGGCAATATGGGTATAAACTTTTCTTCAGATGCTATAGGATAAGATTATTTCAATAGAGTAGATTCCTAAAGTGAATTTTTGGGCCAAAAGACACAAGTATTTTGAGCATCTTAATACATATTAATTTGGAACATTTATGAGCATTAATTCACCTATGTTGTCTTGTTTCACGCTTGGAAGCATTGAATATTGCTTTGTCACTCTTGTTATTTTGACAGGCAAACTGATCTTATTGTTTTAATTTACATTTTTTTGCTACTAGATAGGTTTGATTCTTTTGGCAAGAGTATCGGTGGTGGGGTGTTTTTTTATATTGGGGGTCCATACTGTCTGTTTTTCTTTCCCTCCTTTTCTCTTCTGCAGCTATTGATGCTTAGTACCCAGAATGATTTCATTCACTGTGTGTTTCTCTCACCGTGTTTTTACTTACTGGAGAGGATATATTTGTGTTCATTTGTTGTTTTGGTATAATTCATATGAAAAAGAGAAGAAATGCTAGATGCATCCCCCCCCCACACACTTTTATTTATTTATGCCTCTCTGGACTTAACAGGATGAAATTGATCGGAGGCTGCAGTCTTATCTGAAGTTTTGGATCCTCATCTAGGCTTCTGGGTTTTGGCAGAAATAATTTCCTTACAGCAAACGCTATGATTGAGGTCCTAGTTTTCCTGTGCTGTTGGCCTGGAACCACTTTCTCCTTCTCGAGGTGCTTTCAGAGTCTTGCTGCATGGCTTGTTTCTCTCACAAACAGTAGTTTGCTTTGTCTTTAAGGCCAGTGGGGGAGCACCTCTCCCACAGTCACCTTCTTTAAAAGGGTTACCTGGTTAGATCAGACCCACCCAGGATAGTCTCCCTTTTGATTAACTTAAACAAGGACTGATACTGACTGTGTCCACCCGTGGTCAGAGGGGATCATGAAGATTGTATACACCACAAGAGCTACTACAGAGTTGTGCTTCCGTGCTCATGTAGAATTTTCTGCGACTACATACTCGTGGTGCAGTTATGTCCTTTTGACGTAACCCCTGGGTTTTTCCTTTGTTTTAAGCTTTACTGAAGTATAAAGTAAAATTTATTCCTTCTAAGTATATTTTTTAAAAATTTTAAAGTTTTATTGAAGTTTAAAGTTTACTCATTTTAAGTGAACTTAAAATTCTTAGTAAATTTATAGAGTTGTGCAACCATCACCACTATCAGAATCATTTTCATTATTCCAGAAAAAAAATTGTACCTTTAGCAGTTACTTTCAATTTCCCCTTCCCTTGGGCTCTTGTGACCACTAATTTACTTTCTGTTTTTAAGAATTTGCCTAATTCTGGATATTTCACATCAAGAGAATTATGTAGTATGTGACCTTTCCTGACTGGTTTCTTTTACTTAGTGTAATGTTTTCAAGGTTCATTCCTATTGTAGTATGTATTGTCTGCATTTCATTCCTTTTTATTGCTGTATAGTATTCTATTTTGTGGCCATACCACTTTTTTATATTGCTTTTATGTATTAACCAGTTGATAGACATTTGGAATAGTTCCACTTTTTGGATTTTAGAAATAATGTTGCTGTGACATTTTTGTGTAGGTCTGTTTTCATTTCTCTTCTACATGTAAGAGTGAAATTGCTAGGTCTTAGGTAAACTTTTGTCTTTCTAAGAAATTGCTAAAGACCCTAGGAAGTTTTAGTTGTTTTATTGCTAATTGGGATGATCCAGATGATCCAGAGTCCTACACATTTCCTACTTCAGACTTGGAATTGGCCATATATTTCAAGACTGCTGTCTATATAGGCTAGGAACTCACGGCTAGTTGGTCATTGTTGCTAGGCTTTTCAGTGGATAAATGTGGGAGGAGTGGCATTTTATATAATTTTCTTAAATATATTTTTATTCTTATTTATATTATTTAAAATAAAATACGTTAGGGATAATCATTCCCACTTCCGTTTCAGAACTACAAAGCTTTTTTGTTTGTTTTTACTTTACCTCTTTTATATTTGTCTTCTAAGCCAAGAATCCTAGTTTTCAAAGATACAGGGGAAAATGTAATTGGCATATAACATAATTTACTCGTTGGTTTTATCCTACATGATACAAACAATACTTTCAGAATAACAGTACTAATATTATCACTGCCAGTATGATTATGAAGTTAGCTAAATACTTTGCATGTACTGTTTTCCTCCCGTTTCATAAGTGTACCATAAATACTACATCGTCAGCACACAGTCATTCTATGCTATGTGCTCTTTCTCTTAACCCTCATTTAGTCTTGGTTTGTGAGTAACTATTACCACTGTCCTTATGTCTTAATCTCTTTAGTTGTTTATTTATTTGATGTTTATTCTCTAGTTACTAGAGTCTAATAGAATTCTTGGAAATGCTCATGAGAACAGTATTTGCGTATTGATATGGCTTTTTTGTGTCCTTTCTACTTGAAAATCAGTTTTACTGAACATAATAACCATGGCTTTCATTTTCTTTTTTCTTTAAATTTTTTTAACTGTTTAAGATTACTCCCTTGTCTTCTGGTGTAAAGCTTTGTTGACAAAGCCTAATTTTATTTCCATTATAACCTGGCATGCCCTTTCTGCCCTGATACCCAAAGGAGATCTCCCTGTCCCTGTGTCTCTTTCTCTTCCTCTCCCTCCCTCCCTCTCTCCAGTACTGGGGATTGAACCCAGGGCCTTGCATACGCTAGGCAAATGCTCTGTGCTTTCTCTAAATTGTTTAATTTTTTTCTTTAAAGATAATTTTCCTGAATTATAGCTATTTAGTATTTGTTCCACACTATTGCTCTGGCCTTCTTTTTAAGGGATTTGTTGTTGATGTCTTCTGGTGCTGGGATTTGAATACAGATTCTGTGCTTGGTAGGCAAGCATTGTTCCATTGAGTGGCGGCTCTAGCCCCAGGGTTTGGTTCCCCTCCTTCCCCTTCCCTCCCCTCCCCTCTCCTCCCCTCCCTCCCCTTTCTTTCTGTTTTTTATAAACCAAGATTTTATTTAGTACGAGAATTTGGAGCTCATTGAAGATCCAAGCCCTAACAAGTAGCTTAAAAAATAAAGTTATTTTTCCTGTTTTGATCCTTAATTGTGTCATAAGAGAGTCTGTATTACACAGGAAGACAAAACACATTTTTGAAATAAAAGTAGTTTTTCTGTGAATGAAAACAGATATAAATGCTTCACTAACTTCACCAGTAAAAGTTATTGTCATCTTTGTTTACTAGGTTGCTTGTGATCCCAAACAATAAAAGTAAAATATGAGGTTTTATGTTTACTGAAATCTGAAATAATATGCTAGGAAAATAAAGATATGGTAAACAGTGATATAGAGGAGGGTGGACCTCACCAAGAAGCATTAATAGAAACGACCAACTGTCTTTGGTGGCAGAAAGCAACTTAGCCAGGATGCCTGTTGTACCATTGGAGAGGAGATAAACTGATCACTTCACCTTCTAGCCAAATTAAAATGCTATTTTTCAGTCTTGTTTTGCTTGATACAAAACAATGACTGTACCTAGGATCAGTTATTCCTCCTGTTTCTGTTGCTAAGAAAATAACTTTTGTAACACCTTCTACCTATATCCCAGACTTTCTTGGAAAACATATTTTAAGACTTCCTTATAACTTAGTTCTTTGGTTTTATGCTAGCACACATTTGCTCCACGAATGCTCTTATTGGGCCGGGGAGATAGCTCAGTGGCACAAGCGTGCCTGCCTGGCAAGCACAAGGTCCAAGATTCCTGGTACCAAAAAAAATGCTCTTATTCAGTCCTTCATTTTCAGGACTTGTAAGCTAAAAACAACCAGATCTCTGTATCCCATCTTCACCAACATTCTGGTTCTGAATTTGCAGCTAACTATAGGGCACTGCCTCTCTACCAACTCCCCTGTGCATGTGTACTTACATATGTATAAAACTACACAGTAACTCA